ATAGCAAACATAGAATAGAACTAATGAGAGAAATTTCCTCCACGTGTCATTGTTCTGTTTTTTTGAACCGGGCCATCTGAATTTTTCTCTTTTATTTTTTATTATTTAAATTAATTCTTTTTTTTGGTAAACTAAATTAATTCTTTTACTCTAATAACTGTAACCGTTTAAATGCTGTTATTTTAACTAATTACTCTTCTCTCGGCCTATCAATGTAGGAATTGATTTTATTTTTACAAGTTAAAAAATTCTGAAGAATGTGAAAGAAATGATAGTACATTTATCATTTTCGTAACTTGTTATTCTGATGTGGCTTCGATAAACAAGTGCTTTCAAGAGAAGACGGCACGAAAAGAATTGATATTGTATATTATTTGATATGTGCATTTATTCTGAAATATTGAATTTTTATATACTTCTTTTAGCTCATCTCATTTATATGAATAAAAAGAAGTTAGTGTGAAAATGGCTAATATTAAGGTGGCTAATGATGTTCTTGCAGGTTCGGGAATAGCTTACGAAAGATACGAAGAGATCTTGATCAATTGGAGCCCCCCACCAGCTGGCCGGATCAAAATTAACACGGATGGTGCTTATGCAGGAAATGGTTCAAGAGCTGCTTGTGGTGGGGTGATTAGAGATGAGATAGGGTGCTGGATCAAAGGTTTCTACAGAAAGTTGAGTAATGTAACAGCATTAATGACTGAAATCTGGGGCTTCATCATAGGCTTAGATTGGGCTTGGGAGAACGGGAGAAGACAGATTTGTTAGAAGGAGACTCCATGTTGGCTATCCAGCTTGTTAAAGAGGGTTGTGTTAGCTCACATCCTTGCTATCCTCTTGTGAACAGAGTCAGATTGTTAATGGCTAGACAGTAGAATGTGAGATTATGCCACATCTATAGGAAAGAAAATCAAGTAGCAGACTGGCTTGCTACTCATAATTGTTTGTCTAGTTTGGAAACCATGTGGATTGATAGTGTTCCTGATGGCTGTAGGGATTTAGTGTTGGAGAATTCAATGGGCACTGCGTGGCCCAGGAGTGTTAGTATGTAGTGTTGCTGTTTTCTTTCCTCTTTATACAAAAAAAGAAGAGTGTGAATTTAACTTCCTGTAAAATTTTATCATATATTTATTTATCTTTTCATAATATTCTGCAAGAAAAGTTGTGTGCTTGTGTAATTGTATTTTCTTTTTCTTTTCTTTTTGTCATGAAGAAATTTCTCAGTTCACCTTAGCACAGGTCAGGCTACACCAAGTTCAATTATGCACGCGGTGTATATTATAAAGAATCTCGTGCTTCTGTGGAGCAGTAAGATGCTTCGTTAGAATTTGGTATCGCTTTCATAATGGCATCCTATGTGAGAATACTATACTAGTCCCCCATACGGTATCCAACCAAATTATTAGATATATGATGTATTATTTGAGTTATATATATAGGGGTAGGATATTCTTATACTGGTTTAAGTATTAGAAGTCTTATACTCAATCTTAACCATTGATCCACTTGTATCTAATGGCTCACATTACTAAAAAATTAGAGCCCTTAGATATAAGTGGGATCAACAGACCAGATTGAGAGTGTAACTTACACTAGTGTAAAATGATCCTGACCTATATATATATATATATATATATATATATATATATATATATATATACATACGTGAGAAAAACATTTCTCAAGCAGCTTGAGATAAGTTTATCTCCGGCTACCCTAAAACTACGTCGTTTTATTTATTTATTTCCTAATATTAATTGATTCACCTTTGAATGGTTATGATTTTCTTTTTCTCTCTTTTCATTTATCACCATTGATCCATCTTTGTACGGTTATGATTTTGTAGCCGGAGATAAGATTATCTCAAGCAGCTTGAGAAACGATAAACCCTATATATATATAGAAAATATTTTCTCATGTTGCATGAGAATTCAATTCTCATGTTGTAACCCTTCGATTTGCGTGCAAAGCTTTTCTTTTTCTTTTTTTAATAAATGTGGGGCCCACCACTAGTTGAGTCACAACATGAGAAAATCAAACCTCATATATATATGACTTATCATTTCTCAAGTTATTTGGTTGTCCCTGTCAGTATTAAACTACGTCGTTTTGTTTATTTATTTTCTTATATTAGTTTATCAGAAAAATATTTCTGCAGTTAATGCAGATAAGTTATCTGCATTTACTTCCAAAACGATGTCGTTTTGGATTGAAATATTAAAAAATTATAATTATAAAGACTATAATAACCCTGAAATAAATTAAAATTACAAAAACACCATAGTTTCCGTCCCAAAAAAACGATGTCGTATTGGACTTACTGCAGATAACTTATCTGTAGTAACTGCAGAAAAAGTGAACCCTTAGTTTATTCACCTTTGTATGATTATGATTCTCTTTTACTTTTTCTCTTTCTTGCTTTATCACCAGTGATCTACCTCTGTATGATTATAATTGAGTGACCGGATCAAATCTTATATCCAGTGACTTGACACTTATCAAACCCTATATATATATATATATATATATATATATATATATATATTGTGGGTTTTATATTTCTCATGTAACATTAGAATACACACTATTCGATTTTTGTGTTGACACGAGTTTCACACATGACTTTTTTTAATATATGGGTCTCATATAACTTTTGTCTCTATGCCATAAGAAGACTCATCTCATATAACATGAGAAGTATAAAATCTATATATTATATATGCTTTTCATATTTTTTAAGTTTAAAATTAAACAAGTACTAAGGTATCTAATTTTTATGTTATTATTAAAAAGTGTACAATTATATGTACAAAAATGAGGCATGTTATATTTATAAATTTTTTTATTTACAAACTCTTTCAAACTACACTATCTTCTTTCGGAAGAACACTAATTTTACTATAGTGTAATTTATAAAAATTTATCAAAAAAATTTATAAACGAACTCATTTCTCACAAAAATATAGGAAATGAAGGTTAGCCATGTTACTTACGATACTAACCTGCAGTGGTGATGTAAAAGCCAGCTGGAACGTTGATACTGTCCAAACTTGTGAAGGACAACTAAGCTAGGTAACCTTTTTGGTAGAAGTGGAACCCATTGTAATTGTTGTACCCATTGTAATTGTTGTAGGGATGGGCATGGTCATAAAATAAGATAATTGAGTAGAGTAGTGGATTGTTGTCGTTTTGTTGCAAGGATGAGTACGGAAAGTACATTTACCCTGTGAAATCATTATGATTTCCACCTTATTTAATTTGATACATGTTAGTGTCCTATGGGAGTGGATACTAAAGTGATTATGTGGTCATGTTATTTGATCACAACCACTTATTAATGATGAGATAAGAGAGAAAAAAATATATAATTTTTAAATAAGTGATTGTGATCAAATAATAACATAATCACTTTTTCACATAAGAGTATCCACTCTCGTGTACTATCTATTTGCCATTTGGGGCTTTTGGTGAAATAGTTGTGTCAGTCAGAATTTGTCTCGTCCTATTTCTGTACTCTCTGTGTAATGGGATAAGGATTAGAGTTGAGTGTGTTACAGTTCTTCCAGCCTTTTTCCAGCTGTATGAAATCAATAATATAAACATCAACAGCAATGTAGGTTCTTCACCTACTCCCATAGTCCCATACCATATCAGACAATCTTCCTTTTACATTTATTCTATTTTTCTAAATTATTAACATCCAAATTATTAGTTGCACATGCTGTCATTATCTATTATAAAATCTATATAATTGGATTCTGATAATTGTTTTGAAAATTAAGATTGGTTTGTTACTTCTTCAAAAATGCCATAATAATTTTAATATTTATATATATATTCTGAAATTAATAATTATTGTCAAATAAAACTTAAAAAAGTGTTTCGTTGCATTTATGCCATTAGAACATGCAAGTTGCAGCCAAGTTGGAATAATTTGTCTCTAATTACAATATCATAGAACATTTGCACCAATAATAAGAAAGAGCGAAAAAAAAAACAAAATCATTAGACCATGGTTTGAAAATTTCTAGCTCTTTTTTGGGAAGAAGTTTTTTTATTCACTGAAGAGATTGCCACGAAATAGACTTAAAAATTTAATACTTCTTATTAATCAATATAAAAATCCTTATTCTTGGAGAAGTTAAAAAACTCTCCCATAATCTGTTTAAAATAATTTTTGTGCAATAGAATGATGCAGCATTACGGTATCTAAAATCCTGAAAAAGAATTGCGCGGAAAAGTATAAAAGGACTCATGTGACATTAAAAAAGTCTTACTCAATCACTAACAATTTGTGAATGCATCAGATAAAAAAAGAAAAAAATTATGGAAGCATGGTGTTACTCTTACCGAACCCACTCCCGCTATACCTGGAAAAAAAATTAGTGATATGTTGCATCTTACGTATTTATTTTTTATCAAATTATTTTCTTATTTAATTTTAAAATAAATTATTTTTTAATACATTAATAAAAGTAAAACACATATCATATTGTGAATGAAAAATATATAAAAAAGCTCAATGCATTCGTAGCACTAACAATATTCTCTTATGTGTGGTATCGGGCACGTGACATAGAAGTTTATATTTTAGAATTTTCAGATTATATTTATTATTTCAAAGACCATTATGATTATTTAATTACAAATTTGTCATTTAATTAAAATACTTATCATGAAAACTTATAAGATAACAATTAAATTTGATTTATTTATATGTAACCTTCCTTATTATTATTATTATTTTTGGAAACCTTCCTTATTATTCTCCCCATAGAATTCACATATTCTAAAACCTAAACCCTTGTCATATAATTTATCAGGCAAGAAAGACGTGTGTCAGAGAAAATGCTAGATATTGGGGTCCTTTGGTAATTTCAAGTGAACATAGACCAGTGCTGCTTTATGCTTTGGCCTATATAATGCTAGTATATGAAGTGTGTTGGTCACTGGGCGATCTTAGTTGATATTTGTAGTTCAAACTTCAAACTCTTGTTTTGGCCTTTAGGTTCTTTGTCTCTACTGCCATGGCGCTACGCTTGCTTTTTGTGTTGGGGATGTTGCTGCTGGTGTGCCTTTCCAAGGTACACTAACACTACTTTCATCAGCTTCAGCCATTTGAAGCTGAGGGTCATTTTATTTTCTTCTTAGTTTTCATCTTTTGGTGATTTGTCATGCAGGTTTCATCTGATCTGAAGATAGGAGAAGAAGTACTAGAAGAAGAAGAACTGCACTTTCCTGAAGAGCCAGTATGCTTTGAAAAATTAAAAATTATAGAATCATAGTACAGTATATGTTTTGTACTTTTTATTATAGGTCATGCTTATTTTATTTTACATGAGATAAATAATTTTTTTACACACATAAAAAAAATCATCATTTTTTTTTCTTCTTACGTGTGGGTCCTACTTATAATTTTATTTCTACAATATTTTTACAACATGAAGTAATTTTTTTTTTCTACAACATAACATAACAAAAGTATTTTCGATTTATTATTTGGTGAAGTGCTTATTATAATTAATGCTCTTTTTGGAATTCTCTCCAGCTTATTGTGAGAGGCGGGAACAGAAGGCTAATGCAAAACATAGGTAATTAATACGTAATCAGTAAACAAAAATATTGATTGGTGGGTTTTATTCAACTTTTCAGTTAGAATAATAATAAATGATTATTATTCTACTAGCTAGTTGGGACATTTAATTGTACCATATTCATTTTTTACTCATTGTTCTTTACATTGGAATAAAGAAATGAGAATTTTGATTCTATATATGTTTGGTACTACTGTCTTCTTCACTTCTCAGATTGTGGTGAGTTGTGCAAATCGAGGTGCAGTGTTCATTCGAGGCCCAACCTGTGCAATAGGGCATGTGGGACTTGCTGTGTGAGGTGCAAGTGTGTTCCCCCTGGTACCTCTGGAAATAGGGAGCTCTGTGGAACTTGCTATACTGATATGACCACCCATGGGAACAAGACCAAGTGCCCTTAGAGAAACAAACCCATGGGCCACTGGCCCAACTAAATTGGGCTGTGTTTCAAGTATACTGTGTTTGGGGATGTATGCGTAGTTTGGCAGTATTAATGTTTTATTTAGAGCTGTGTTTAAGTTTGTATCTTTGTCATGGTATGATTACAGAGATATGACTCGTATAAACTTTGTGCCTCTGTGTAATATGTAAAGATAATGTATTACTTTCTATTTCCACTTTAGTTAGTGTCATAATTCCAAATCTCTGTTTTTATAGCCTTAAGTGCGAACAAGTACCATGTATTGTGCCCTCGTCCAAAAATGGAAACATACAAAATGAAAGTTAGTAGTTTTTATAAAAGTATGGAAAAATTATTTGTTTTTTTAAATGATGTAATTTATATCATTGTACTCTGGTGGGATTTTTTTTTTTTTTTTTTTTCTCTCTCTCTTTCTTTTATTTATTTATTTTTTCATTTAAAATGACATAATTTTACGTCATTTAAAATGATACCTACTTTTTCTTTTTATAAAATCACAAAAGTATTTTTTTTTCATCCAAAGTGCGTCTGAAAAAAGTTCTGGTTTTATCACACTCCTGAATTTTTTTAATAAATTTTTTTGTCTCAATTGGAATTTTAATAAAATTTTGGAATTTCGTATATCTTCAATCTAACATAACTAGTTAGCTTATTTCCGAAGAAAATGTGAGAACAAATCTGTAAAGAGTATGAGATATTTGTAACGAGAAAGACCTTAGATAAAAAATAAAAATAAGTACAACTTATATGAAAAAAATTTAAAGTTCCAAGTAAATAGGTGTATATTGCATGTAAAGTGTTGATATAATTTTCCAAATTCAATAATATAAGAAAATTTTTATATGTGATAAAAAATTTCACATCATGTTAGTAATTCTTTTTCTTTTCTTTTTTTTAAATTTGTTTCGGGTGATCAAATAATAGTAATTTAGTGGATGTCAAAAATTGAGCAGATAAGACAAAAATATGTATTCAATTATTTTTAATATTATCTCTGAGAGAAATTTAAAATTTTAATTTGAGGACTCATTTTAAATTAAATTAATTACAAAACGATTAATCAATTGTAAATATTTTCAAATTTGGGACCAAATTTGGGTGATATTTTCAAAACGATTAATCATTTTTTTTCTTGCTTCGGGTGATGATTACAAATTTGGGACCAAAGAGTGCTACAAGGTGTCGTGGACCACCCCTTGGGACTGTCATCTAAGATGACTGAATACTTCTATTTTGGTCAGTTTTGCAAGTCTTCTGATTTGTGGGTCCTTCTCCTTGGCACACCAGCCGACACCGAATATGACGTTATTTTGTATTTATTATTTAAGCTCTCTAATTCGTAAACAGATTGGGATTATATATATGGAAAATAGTTTTTTCATTTTACATGAGAAAATTTTTTCATGCTACACTCATAATACATGAGTGGGTTCCATCTTGACTTTTTTGTTTTATCACTTTTTTGTGGATCCCACTCATGTATTGTATGTGTAACGTGAGAAAATTTTCTGATGTAAAATGAGAAAATCAATTCCCTATATATATATATATATATATATAGGAAAAATTGTTTATCCTTTTAAATGACACAACTTATATTTTTTTACTTTCACAAAGAGGTGGGATCTATACTTTTTTTTTTCAACTCTCTCTTCTTTTATCTATCTCTTTCTCTCTCTTAAAATGACACAATTTTACATCTTTTAAAATGATACACAATTTTTCCATATATATATATATATATGGGAAAAACATTTATCATTTTAGATCTTAACCGTTGATTAAAATACTTGATGGTTATAATATATTGAATCAAAATTATTAATTAATTAATAATAAGTTTGGCCCATTAAATTTGACCCAATAAATTATAATCGTTGATGGAAGAAAATCAACGGTTAGGATCTAAAATGACATATGGTTATATCCTTTAAAAGGATAGATGTTTTTCCACATTGATCTGGATAAAATATGATAGGTCCATCAAAGGCTAAAATCCATAGAGCAAGGCCCAAACCCACCAGGCTGAGGCGCGATGTCATCAATCGCGTCGCGCCCAAATCGTCCTTCAGCATAACTTCAGAGATAAGAAAGCAATCATAGGAACTAATAAAGATCAACCGCGCCATTGAACAAATAAACAGAAGACAACATTAGCTTGTCACCACTCTACCAAAATAGCTTGACATAATGAGATAAGGCTATAGAAGCACCAGCTGAACCTGCAGCCCAGGAATAGCCAATCAGAAGTCATACTACCTTCCTAAGGCGGCATCAGATTCACTATATAAACACACGGTACATCCTCAGGTATAATAATCTAATTCAATAAGAATACACATAAAACCTGACATTGATACCAACTTAAGCGTCAGAGTGTCATTGCAGGTACCCCCTAGTCAGGATCATCACGTCAAAGGTGAATATTACATCACCCATCATTTACAACTATCTCAAGTCCAGGAAACAGACAGCCCAACTCAAAGTCTTCTAACCTCAACCATGTGTGATTAGGCCGTTTACACTTTGGCCAGCCTATATTGTATTGATCTGATCATTGGCGCCATCTGTGAGAAATCTATCAATTAGAACCCATTCATTCACAATGAAAAAACATGGTTGATACCAGAAGCAAATCCCAGAACGGTTCCAAAGGGAAGCAAAAAGAAACACCAGCCTCCCATGAAAAATCTGCTTCGTCAGTTGCACCAATCTTCGTGCACCACGAAAATCCACCCACAACCCAACACTTGTTGAAACTTATTACTCATCAAAACAAAAAAATTGCCCAGCAGAATCGAGACTTAGCTCGATTAAAAAAATCACAAAAGGCTAGGGAGAAAAACCAGGAAAAAGGAAAAGAAAAACAAAAAGAAGCTGAAAAAAAGTTTGAAAATTTTGGCGAAAGTGAGTCAGGACATGAATATCCGAAACAAGATCTTGGACCCTCTGGTCAGAAAAAGAAAGGAGAAGAAGAAAAAGAAACCCATGAAAATTCTCAGGGGAATTCTAGGACAGTCTCGCGAGTCTTTCATCCCTTTACCCCATGTATCATGAGCGTCCCCATCCCCAGGGATGTAAAAATTAAAACCGAGATATAATGGAAAGGGAGACCCTCAAGAGCATCTGGAACAATTCCAGACAAATATGATGGCACAAGATGTTGCTGATCCAATAGCTTGCAGGCTATTCCCAACAACCTTGAAAGAAGTAACGCTTAGATGGTACTCCACTTTACCAACAAATTCGGTTCAAAGTTGGGAGGATCTAACCAACCAATTCCTTATACGGTTCGCAACGAGTAAGGCGTTGTATATATCCAAACACGCCTTAAAAATAGTACGACAAGGACCACACGAAACTGTGCGCGATTACCTTAATAGGTTTTTTAACGAAGCGCTCTTAGTAAGAGACCTAGATCCATAAGTTTCCCTACATCTCATCATAGAGGGATTGCTTAAAGGGCCATTCTCTATGTCCTTGGCCAAACAACGCCCACGAACCATAGAGGATTAAGAGAGCGATATGAAAAATTCATTAATCTGGAAGATTATAAACGATCGCGGGATACTTCTAGCATCAAAACAGAATCAGACAATTTCAAAAAAGATGTCCAAAAGAATTTTCAAAGACGATTTCGCGAGAAAAGTAAGTGGAAAAAGTTCGATAATTATTCTCCTTTGAACACATCCCGCAGACAAATCCTAAAGGAAGTCTTCCAAACCGGTTATATTTGCGTTGCTAAACCCCCACCATTGAAAAAAGGAGGACAACGTGACGAAACCAAATTTTGTGAGTTTCATAATGACACCGGTCATACCACTGACAAGTGCTTTGATTTGAAAAACACCATTGAAATACTTATCAGAGCAGGCAAACTCCAGGAATTCATTTCTACTTGCAGAGAGTTTAAGGCACAAAAAATGCGCGATCGAAGTCCTGATCACAATCGGAATCCTGATCGACAAAGGGCATATCCCAAGAGGGATTATAACCCTGCCAGAAATAACAATAATAGGAACGTGCGCGATGACCCCACTATAGACGTCAAGGAATTCCAACGAGGGATAGACAACAAGCAGCGCAACTGCATCAATTGCCCAATAATGCTGCCGGAGTGTTAGCCACCATTGCCGGTGGAACAGCCGGAAGAGGGGCTACCAGCTCACAACGTAAAAGACATTTAAAATCGGTCATGACAGTTCGCGATCATGCACAGCCATCTACATCCCGCGTCAAACGTCAATCCATCAGCTTTGACGATGATGATTATGGCGACATCATCCCAGACCCTGATGACCCGCTGGTGATTTTCGCTTACATGTCCAATCTCCAGGTAAAACGAATTATGATTGATAATGACAGTTCTGCTGACATAATCTTCTGTGATGCGTTTCACGCAATGAATATCCCAGAAGAACATTTAATTCCAGGTTGCACAGATTTGATCTGTTTTTCCGGTGAATATGTACAACCCAAAGGTACCATCGAAATGTGGGTCACCTTTGGGGTCATGCCTCTAGCTCGTTCTGTTAAAGTCTGCATATAACGTCATTTTGGGACGTTCCACCATTGCCGTTTTAAAGGCAATCATCTCTATGCCTCATCTTCTGATGAAATTTTGAGACTCCACTGGCGCTGTTGTTGCTATTAGAGGATATCAAAAAGCGGCACGAAGCTGTTACAATACTAGCTTACGAGTAAAGTCAGCAACTCATCGCGTTGAGAAAGGCAAGGCATCAATCAATATGACTGACTTAGACATGCGCGAAGATTTGCGCGATGCGCGACCCCAGCGTGATGGTGAGTTAGAAGATCTCCAACTTGGTCTGTTACCTGAAAATGTTACCAAAATTGGACGTCACCTACCAGAAAGTGAGAAAAAAGAATTGGCGGCGATATTATTAAAAAATAAAGACCTTTTTGCTTGGACAACATCTGATATTCCAGGAGTAGATCCTGATATAATATGCCATCATCTTACTCTTGACCCTAAAGCCAAACCAATCGGGCAA